AGTATTTCAAAAAGCCCATGGAAAGTGGAATTATCTCATGAGAGCCTCATTTCCAGCTCCCCACTCTGCACATGGCCAAGGTTTGGTCCACAGAACCTAATGACAGTTAAAATCCAAGCCTGGGGCAGGGGCGGCAGCAGCAGGGGCAGCAACAGCAGCTCTTGGGCTGCTCTGGTTTTTAGATTCTTTCCAGCTTCCAGAAGGTTGGATTCTTTCCCACTTGTTTTCAAATCCCAGCCCAAGTGAAAGCTTTCACGGAGGGCATCCCTTACACCAGAGCAGATCAGGAACTGCTGCACGCGTCTCAGTTCCCTGTGGTTTCCACCACTGCATACAATCACTTGCAGTTATGTGTGGCAGTGGCATTGTTTGCTTTGTGTTTGTCTCTGCCATGAGTCTGGTAGTTCCATGAGGTTAGGACATCTGCCCCCCCGGTATCCAATATGGCACAGCACAGAAACAAAATAAATATTTCCAAATAAAAATGATGTCATGTGGACTGGTGGAGGGGAAGAGGAATTGAATTAGTAGGTATATAACTCCTCAAGGAAAGTGAAGGATTGCAAAGGGGGAAGGAAAGATTGAAAAGGGGGAAAGAAAAGAGGAAACATTTTATTGCGAACCTTTCTAAGTTGTAGGAAACATACTGAAAATCTTTGAAGAGCCACTTCCTGTTCCAACCAAACTTTCACAGTCACCACTCTTGGTCCCTTCTTCTTTTACTTGAGATAAAGTGTCCAGGTCGTGAGCACTGTCCTCAGTGAGTCCTGACAAACGCACACTCACGCAACCCACACTCTGAGACAAACGCAGAACATGTCCATCCATCCAGAATGTTTCCACATCTCCCTTCAACATCCCGTTCCTAGGAACAACTGTGGATCCAACTCTATGACCATAAGCAGTCTGCCTACTTAGAATTTCATATAAAAATAGCATGTACTTTTTTGTTTGTGGATTTTATAACATTTCTGACATTCAGCTATGTTGCTGTGTGTTATCAGTGTGCAGTTCTTTTTTGTGTTGAGTAATATTCCATTGTTTGAATACATCACATTTTCATTTTGTTTACCTACCCTTGTGTTGATAAATATCTAGGCTGCTGCCAGCTAACATGATCAGAACTGCTATGAAGATTCTCGTACAGAGCTATTTGTGGATATTTATTTTCCCTTCTCTTGGATAATTATCTAGGAGTAAAACTGCTGGGTCATGGGAAAATTTTTTATCATTAAGAAACTGCCAAATAATTTTCCAAAGTAGTCATACCATTTTTTTGCACGCCTACCAGTGATGGATGAGGTTTCTGGTTACTCCACATCCTCTCCAACACTTGGTGTTGTCAATCATTTTTCATTTTAGCCATTCCAGTGGGTATATAGCAGTATCTCATTATGGTTTTCACCAGCATTTTCTTGATGATTAAGGACATTAAGTACTTTTTCATGTGCTTATTGGTCATTTGCATATACTGTCTGAGAACTGTCTATTCCAGTCTTTTGCCCATTTAAAAACTGGGGTGGGATTATCTTTTTCATATTTAGGTGCAAGGAATCTTTATATATTCAGTCCTTTGTGAGAAATGTGTTGCAAATATTTTTCTTCAGGTTGTGGCTTGTCTATTGCTTTCTTAAAGCCCAACTGCCCCATTTTTACAATGGTTTGTGATTCCTGTAAAATCTCCAAGTTCTATAAATTTTCCAATGCTCTCCCTTAGTAGCTTTATAATTTTGGCTTTTATGCTTTAGTTTATGATACTTTCCAAACTGATTTCTGTGTATGGTGTGAGGTGGGGCTGGCATTCTTTTTCTCTCTCTCCCCCCATATAGACACCCTGCTATCCCAGCAGTCTTTGATAAAAAGATTTTCCTGAGGTGGTGCCATGGTGCGGTAGGTTAATCCTCCGCCTGTGGCACCAGCATCCCATATGGGTGCCAGTTCTAATCCCGGCTGCTCCACTTCCAGTCCAGCTCTCTGCTGTGGCCCGGGAGGGCAGTGGAGGATGGCCCAAATCCTTGGAAGACCGGGAAGAAGCACCTGGCTCCTGGCTTCGGATCAGTGCAGCTCCAGCCATTGCAGCCATTTGGGGAGTGAACCAGTGGAAGGAAGACCTTTCTCTCTGTCTCTCCCTCTCTCTGTAACTCTAACTCTCAAATAAATAAATATATCTTTAAAAAAAGAAAAAAAGATTTTCTTCAGCTTGTACGCCCTTGCTGAAAGCCCCTTAACCTTCCACATCTGTCTCAGGCTTCTCTGTGCTGTTCCCTTGACTGATCAGTCCATCTTTTTGTCAGTGCCTCATTTTCTTGATTATTATGGTCAGCATCAAGCAGGGCTCAGTCTACCCACTTTGTTCTTTTTAAGACTGTTACAGTTACACTAGCTCCTCTGGCTTTACAAATGCATTTTAGAATCTGTTTGTTAATTTCTACAAAAATGCCTGTTGGGATTTTAGTAATTAATCTATTCAGTTTGGGGAAATAGCTCATCTTAACAACACTGACTTTTTCAATCCACAAATTTGGCATAGCTCTCCATTTATTTAGGTTTTCTTTATCTTACCAATGTTTTATCATATTCTGTCTTGAACATCTTTCATTAAATATATCCATAAATATTAAATATATATAAACACATATATGTGCATACACATTATTTAGTTATTTGAAAGGCAGAGTGACAGAGAGAGAGGGAGAGATCTTCTATCTACCAGTTGACTCCCTAAATGCCTGCAACAGCTGGGGTTAGGCCAGGGAAAACCAGGAGCCAGGAACTCCATCTGGGGCTCCCACATGGGTGGCAGGAACCCAAGTACTTGGGCCACCATCTACTGTCCCCCAGGCATTGGAAGGGGGCTGGATTAGAAGTGTGAGAGCTGGGACCAGACACTCTGATACAGGACATTCAGGTCCCAAGTGGCAGCCCAACCTACTATACCACAATGCCTGCCTCACTATTTGATCTTTTAATGCTATGGTAAACAGAGATTTTCTTTTTTTCTTTTTTGTTTACAGGCAGAGTGACAGTGAGAGAGAGAGACAGAGAGAAGGTCTTCCTTTGCCGTTGTTCACCCTCCATGCGCGTGCGGTGCGCTGCGGCCGGCGCACCGCGCTGATCCGATGGCAGGAGGCAGGAGCCAGGTGCTTTTCCTGGTCTCCCATGGGGTGCAGGGCCCAAGCACCTGGGCCATCCTCCACTGCACTCCCTGGCCACAGCAGAGCGGCTGGCCTGGAAGAGGGGCAACCGGGACAGAATCCGGCGCCCCGACCGGGACTAGAACCCGGTGTGCCGGCGCCGCTAGGCGGAGGATTAGCCTAGTGAGCCGCGGCGCCGGCCTTTTATTTCATTTTCTAATCCTTTGTTGCTAGTAGTTAGATATGCCATTAGTTTTTATATTTACGTACTTGATATCTTTCAATACCACTATACATTTACTTACTTGTTCTAGTATTATTTTTGCAGATTCCTTATGACTTTTTTTTTTTTTTGACAGGTAGAGTTATAGACAGTGAGAAAGAGAGACAGAGAGAAAGGTCTTCCTTTCGTTGGTTCACTCCCCAAATGGCTGCCACGGCCGGCGCTGCGCTGATCCGAAGCCAGGAGCCAGGTGCTACTTCCTGGTCTCCCATGTGGGTGCAGGGGCCCAAGGACTTGGGCCATCCTCCACTGCCCTCCCGGGCCACAGCAGAGAGCTAGACTGGAAGAGGAGCAACCGGGACTAGAACCTGGTGCCCATATGGGATGCTGGTGCTGCAGTCGGAGGATTAACCAAGTGAGCCATGGAGCCAGCCCTTCCTTATGACTTTCTATATCCATCATCTCATTTTCCAATAAAGACTTTATATCTTCCTTTCCAATATCTATCATCTTCTGTCGTCATGTTGCACTGGCTAAGTCCTCTGGTACAATTCTGAACAGAGGTGGTAAAAGTGGCCTTCTTTGTTTTATTCCCAATATCACAGGGAAACACTCCCAAATCTAACCTTGAAGTGTGACATTAGCTGTAGTTTTGCTCTTTCACAGCGTGAAGACACTTCCCTCTCTTCCTGGTCTATGGGAAAGTTATTCCCTACGTGGTGTTCTATTTTGTCAATTGCTTTTTCTGAATCTTTTAAAATGATCGTTTTTTCCTTTAAACTGTTAATATGATGAATTACATTGGTCTACTTTTATGTGTTCAACGGATTTGCATTCTTGGGATAAATCTCACACGATTAGGGAGTATTATCCTTTTACATACTGTTGGAATCAATTTGCTACATATATTGTTATAAATGTTTGCATCTATGTTTACAAAAGAATTTAGCCAGCGATTTTTTTCTGTAGTAGCCTTGTATTGTCTTGATATCAGGTTATAATGTCCTGATCAAATGACTTGGAAAGTATTCATTGTTTTATTTTCTGAAAGAGTGAAAACTGGGCTGATATTATTACTTCCTTAAGCATGATAATATCTAACAGTTAAGCCGTCTGGCTTGAAGTTTTCTTTGTGGGAAATTCATTATTAATGCAATTTCTTTAAGAGACATAGAACTATTTGATTTTCTAATTTTTCTTGTGTCAGCTTTGTTAATTTGTGTCTTTCAAGAAATTTGTCTGTTTTATGTAAGTTGTCAAACTTATTGGCAAAATGTTCCTAATCACTCATATCATTCCTTATCACTGGCAGGATACACAGTGACGTCCCTCCTTTCGTTCCAGATATTGGTAATTTGTATTTTTTTCTACTTTTCTTGTTCAGTATGTTAGTGGCTTATTAATTCTGTTGATCTTTTTTACAGAACTAAATTCTGGCTCTTTTTTTTTAATCTTACTGATTCATTTTTTTTTTTAAAGAAAGTGAACACTGAAGATAAAATTAAAGGCTCTTTCAATTTCTGTCCTCGCCTCCTCCTCCTGACCTTCAGGTACCTTCTCCCCGAGTTTCGCATCACTATTCCCCGCACTGTGTATCAGAGTAACGCTGATGTCTGCCGCTCATGGCCCCTTTGTCCACTCACCGTGTTTCCTGCCTCTGCAGCCAGCCGGGCAGCGTAGCGCGCTATCAGCCGGTGCTCCTCGTCCAGTCGGCTAGGACTGTCCAGGACGCTGCCAAAGACACAAAAATTCAACAGGGGTGTCTCTCACTTTTTGCTCCCACTCTTGTTCTATTCTTAGGGGGGAACAGATGCAAGAAAATCTTGTTTAAAATAAAAAAAAAATGAGAAAGAAATGCTAACAAAAGAAACGGAGGCCTAATAATGATCTTCTAAGATAACAGGGGGCTGAGAGAACCAGTGAGGCCAGGCACCCTCCTCAACACCCCCGCGGCTCCCACCAAAGGGGACACCGCACTGCTAAGGCAAGACGGGACACCAGGATTTCCAACCAAGTACTTGGAAAAACTCAGGACTTTTTAGACCCAGATGTTAAACTCAGGAAGAGCAAGGGAAAACGAAAGCATGAAGACAGAGCGTTGAGAGAATGTGAGCCGAAGGCGGGGAGCCCTGGCCAGGTCAGACCTGACACAGAGCTGGCGGGTTCCATGGGGAGGCTGCCCTTACTGCACCTTCCCCACCTGCAGCTGTAACTGCACTCCACGCCGAGTTGGCTTGGTCCATCATCCTTATTTAAAGACTCACCCAGAAGGGATGTTAGGTCCTGGGTGAAGGTCCAGGCTAGCTCTGTGTATACGCGGTGCCAATCGGGAGATCTGGATCGTTTAGGAAGCAGCTGACTTGCTTACTTCAGTATTTTGTCAGCTGCTATCTACACACAGCAGGGTAGTTCCAGATTAGGAGGAATTGTGGCTGTATGATTCTCTTTAAAATTGGTAGAAGGAGCAGGCATCTGGCCTAGCAGGTTGTCTCCTGTGTCCCCTATCGGAGTGCCTGGTTTCGGTATCTAGTTCTAGCTCCTGAGTCCAATTTCCTGCTAATGCAGACCCTGGGGGCAGTGGTGGAGCTTGAGTGATTAGGTGCCTGCCACCCATGTGGGAGACCCTGACTGAGCTCCTGGTTCCTGGCTTCAGCCCAGCCCAGCCCAGCCTAGTCCCAGCCACTGTGGGCATTTGGGGAGGGAACCAGCAGACAGAATCTCTCTGTATATCTGTTTTTCTCCTCCTGTCTGCTTCTCAAATATTAGAAAATTTTTAAAAAGTTTTTTTTTCTCCAACACAGGTCATGTGCTTAGGAAGCCTGCTCTTATCTGTCCTACACACATATGTGGATGACACGGCTACGCCGATTGGCTCTGCTTTCTAGCCAGGAATTAGAAACTTGTGTTGGTGAGAGGTTTTAAGGTCAAGGAAAATTACTTGAGGACAGTTAGAAAGATTCTTGATTCTCTGTTTGAGTTGACTTTCATTTTCAGAATTAGCCAGGAAATTTCTGACTTCTTCGAGGAAGTAGGAGGCTGCGTTCCGAGACTATAAAGCAGAGGAGACGTGGTACTCACCCACTCACCGCGCGCTCTCAGGGCCTGTGGCCACCAATGCTTCCTCAAGAGCCTAGGTCCTAAGCCAGGAGACCTGGGGACGTTGGCTAAGCCTACCAGAGCCCCGGTGCTGGCTGAGACCTGGGGACACTGGCTAAACCCATTGGGGACACTGGCTAAACCAGAGGCCCTGCGCTGGCTGAAACACTAGGCAACAGTGCTAGCCAAGCACTCCACTGTTCCTTGCACTAAGGAGGCTCCTTGTCCCCTGGACAGCCGCTCTCACAGACAATAAGCCCCCTGCCCTGCCGGAGGTCTCTCCTCAAGACCAGGAGGCTGGGACAGAGCACAGAACTCATCTGCGGGACGAGGAGACTCTGTACCAGGGGACTACGGCTTCTCCCAGGCTCCAGAGACAAGTGAGTGTCCGAGGATACTGATGCTTTTAGTGATACTGGAAAAACTATGAGAAGTGGGATGAAGTATAACGTTAAAAGCAGTTCTTTTCAGAGGTCTATCTTCCTATTCATTATAATTCACGCCTCTGCTACCACGGGGAACAGCAGTGAGGTCAGTGACCTTCCCAGGGAGCCACGGCAGGCAACGGGCAAAACTCAGGTCAGACCCTGAGGCTGCAGTCCCTGCTGTAGGGATGGTTTCTGCACGAAGGCTCCTCTCAGAGCAAGGGCCTCAGATGGGGCTTTGCAGGCTGCGCACGGCAGGACTCCACCACGTCGCTATTACGAAGAAGGGAGGGGCGATCTTAGCTCACTTCAAGCTGACTTGTCAACCTCCTTGAGAATGGGGCGGGGAGCCGGCCTGACGCCACGGGCAGAGCGTGTGCACGTCACTATTTATGAGCTGTTTTTTTTAAAAAAGGATGAACTTCGCTGTAGTTTGCATTTTTCAAGCATTTTTTTCCACCCCAGCCCACTGAAGCATCAGTCATGTTTGTATTAGTAGTGATTCATGACCCGTTTTCAGCGGGATGGGTAGGTGGCACCATTATAATATAAAGACTCTGGATTAGAGAAAGCAAGGTATCTGGGGGTTGGTCAGCCCTGAACTCTGAACGGGAATCGAAAGACTTCACCATTTAAGTCCAAGTGAATGTGCCTTCTGGGGCATTACAGATCTGAGGCTCAGACACTCAGCGTAATCTGAGGAAGCCAACCTCACGTTCAAGGAGAATCTCCTGACTGTTTAGATAAACACCGGGCGTGGCAAGTCTTCTCCTGCAGAAGCTAATGCTGCAGCACAACTTGGACTGCAAACACAGCTGGTCGCTGCTCGAGGAAACCCCCACACGCAGGGCTGTTTCAGCCCGGAATGCGGCCACGCAGCTCCCCCCCTTCTGGTCACCCCTGGCTGCCCGTCTGCTGCTGCAGCTCGACCACTGACCGTGCACAGTGCTGCAGACGGGCCACATAGGAGGCTATCAGCGCATGCTCATCGGCCAAGGCACCGGCTACACCCTGGCTGCACTGTGACCTGGGAACAACGGAGCCAAAGACAGCAAGCGGGACACGGACACACACACAGGGAGAAATGAACATGGTTAAAGATGGGCAAACAAAAAAGAAAACATAATTCATGATAAAGAAAACAATTTAAAAAAAAACCCACAATGCACAAGGGGATGTGTAGACCATGGGGAATCTGTCCTCAGGAGACAGTGCTGGCTGACCGGCACTGCAGCCCTCCCCGGGGAGTCACCAGGGAAGCTGGCTCGCCTGCTCTGAGGACGCATGTTCTAGGGGACACCCTCCAGCACAGTGGACCCATCTGATATTACTAACTGACCCCGATGCCATGCTTTTACAGCTCTTGTCGACAGTTCAGCGTTTTTAGTGGTACCACATGTTCCCAGTTAAATATTTTGATTTCTATACAGATTCTGCCCTTAGCATCTGTCTGTTTTCTTCCATAAAACCAGTACTTGAGCCAAACTCATTAAAGTTATATCGAATTGTAAGACAACACCATACAAGGGGTCCTCAGAAGTTCATGGAAAATTAATACTAAGAAAAAAATAGGCATCGATTTCAAATTTTTGTACTGAACTTATCTTTGAATTCCATTTTCCACAAGCTTTCTGAAGTACTTTTGTATATATTCTGAGTAAGGCTCTCCCTCATAGATACATGGAAGATCCGTAACTACCTGGTCTTTTTGTTTTAACTTTCCACTATAGAAATGCTAAAACTTGCACAAAATAGAGTGTTCTAAGACTACCCTCATGTGTCTATCACCAAGAGTGAACAAATATCAACACTTTGTCTATCTTGTTAAATCTATTCTTCCTTCCCCAAATATTTCATGCAGGTGGTTAAAGCAAAGCCCAGGCAATTGCTTCCCCTGGGAACACCTGATCCTGGAGGTCTGTCAGATAATGAACACACTTCACAAGCCCTCAACACCTTTATCATGGAGGAAAAAAACCTGATAAAAATGTTTCATATTCTAGCGTATTTGAAAATCTCCTCAAATTTTAAAAATGTGCTTTTACACTGGCTATCAATCCAAACAAGGTCCCCACTTCGCATTTGACTGCTGTTTCTTTCATGCTTGTATTTGATGGTTAGGTTTCTGTCTCTAATTCCTAACAGTTCCTCCTTTTCTGTGTTTCTTTCGAGTCATCTGTGAAGAGACCAGGTTGTCTTACAGAACACCCAACTTTCTGGAGCTGTTTCCTGTGCAGTGTTTAGCTTGTTCCTCTATCCTCTGTGGTTAGATCTAGACTCCCGATTAAAGCTTTCACTTTTGCTTTGTTTTTGAGAAATGGCAAGGATTTGTTACAGATAATAGAATGTGTTTGTAAATAAAAACGGAGGCACATAATGGGATGGAATAACAATATTGATCCGTGGATTCCGATGTTATCATCATCTCTCCATTGTAAGTTTTCCATCAGCTTTTCTCCTACTGCTTTTAGCATGATTCTTGGCCCAGTTTATTATTTCATTAGTGGTTGCAGTGTTGATTTTTCTGTCTTTATCATCTTGTCTGCATTTATTAATCTCCCATTTGTTTATCTTGAAATACTGACCCAGCCAGTGGGCCCCGTTGGCTTCCTGGCCCAGTAAGATGCTCCTGCTTCGTCCTGTGTGGATCCTACCCTGTTGGTCTCCATTACTGATAGAGTGAATCAGAGCACTGGGGTGTTCACTGGTCCGGGATTGCCACTGCTTCTGAAACTTCTCAGCAAATGAGTTCTTGCAGCATTTCTAGTTGCCATTCCATTTTCCTCTGCTTTGCCTTGTTTTCAAGAAGTCACGGGTTTTCTTATCTTTGTTCCCCAGAATATATTATTTTTCCCTCTAGCTGCTTTTAATACACTTTCTTTATCACTGGTTTCAGCAATTCCATTTTGATGTGCCCTGGTATGGCTTTTTTTATGTGTGTGTTTATATTGACTTCAATCTGTTAGGCCTCTGTAGGTTTATGGCTTTTATCAAATTTATAAAAGTTTATGTGGAAATCTGGGAAAAAATATTTCCTTAAATATCTGTTCTCTCTCATTTAGACTGCCTGGCATTGCCCCACAGGTCACTGAGGCACTGCTCATTTTTTAAAAATCGTTTTACTGTTTCTTCTATTTACTTATTTGAAAGGCAGAGTGGGCCGGCGCCACGGCTCACTAGGCTAATCCTCCGCCTTGCGGTGCCGGCACACAGGGTTCTAGTCCCGGTCGGGGCGCCGGATTCTGTCCCGGTTGCCCCTCTTCCAGGCCAGCCCTCTGCTGTGGCCAGGGAGTGCAGTGGAGGATGGCCCAGGTGCTTGGGCCCTGCACCCCATGGGAGACCAGGAAAAGCACCTGGCTCCTGGCTCCTGCCATTGGATCAGCGCGGTGCGCCGGCTGCAGCGCGCCGGCCACGGCAGCCATTGGAGAGTGAACCAATGGCAAAAGGAAGTCCTTTCTCTCTGTCTCTCTCTCTCACTGTCCACTCTGCCTGTCAAAAAAAAAAAAAAAAAAAAGGCAGAGTGATGGGGGGAGGTATCTTTCATCTGCTGGTTCACTTTCCCAGATGCTTGCAACAGCTACAGCTGGGCCACGCCAAAGCCAGGAGCCAGGAATTCCATCCAGGCTGCAGCGACCCAAGTACTTGAGTCATCATTTGTTGCTTCCCAAGTGTATTAGCAGGGAGCTAGATCAGAAAACAGAGAAGCCAGGACTCAAACCAGGCATTCCAAAATAGAGTGCGCGCGTCCCTAGCAGTGGCTTAGCCCACTGTACCACAGCACCTACCCCTCTTTCATTTTCCAGCTAGGTTTTTCCTCTCTATAATTCTTTTTAGATAGCTTGTATTGATATGTCTTTTAAGTTCAGTGAACCAGGGCCAGCGCTGTGGCTCAGCAGGTTAATGCCCTGGCCTGAAGCGCTGGCATCCCATATGCACTGCACACCAATTTGAGACCCGGTTGCTCCATTTTTTTTTTTTTTTTTTTTTTTTTTTATTTTTTTTTTTGACAGGCAGAGTGGTCAGTGAGAGAGAGAGAGACAGAGAGAGAGAAAGGTCTTCCTTTTGCCGCTGGTTCACCCCACAATGGCCACCACGGCCAGCGGCGCACCGCGCTGATCCTGGCAGGAGCCAGGAGCCAGGTGCTTTTCCTGGTCTCCCATGGGGTGCAGGGCCCAAGCACCTGGGCCATCCTCCACTGCACTCCCTGGCCATAGCAGAGAGCTGGCCTGGAAGAGGGGCAACCGGGACAGAATCCGGCGCCCCAACCGGGACTAGAACCCGGTGTGCCGGCGCCGCAAGGTGGAGGATTAGCCTATTGAGCCACGGCGCCGGCTTGGTTGCTCCATTTTTGATCCAGCTCTCTGTATGGCCTGGGAAAGCAGTAGAAGATGGCCCAAGTCCTTGGGCCCTGGCACCTGTATGGGAGGCCTAGAAGAAGCTCCTGGCTCCTGGCTTCGGATTGGTGCAGCTCCAGCCGTTGCAGCCAACTGGGGAGTGAACCAGCAGATGGAAGACCTCTCTCTTCCTCTCTGCCTCTCCTTTCTCTGTGTAACTCTGACTTTAAATAAATACATAAATCTTTTTAAAAAAAAAAGTTCAGTGAACTTCTCTTCTATGATTTCTGATCTACTATTAAGTCCATACACTGTATTTTTTATTTCCAGCATTATCCCTTTAATTCTGAGACTTTCCTTTTTTATTTAAAATGTTTATTGAAATCAAATATGTAGGTAGAAGGTTCCAGTTACATTTATATTTGGTTCTTTTTTATTATTTTAAAGATTTACTTATTTATTTGAAAGAGTTACAGAGAGGCAGAGGCAGAGAGAGACACACACACTTCCATCTTCCATCCACTGGTTCACTTCCCAATTGGCCACAACAGCTGGAGCTGCGCCAATCTGAAGCCAGGAGCCAGGAGATTCTTCCAGGTCTCTCATGTGGGTGCAGGGGCCCAAGGACTTGGTCCATCCTCTACTGCTTTCTCAGGCCACAGCAGAGAGCTGGATCAGAAGTGGATTGCCAGGACTCAAACTGGCACCCATATGGAATGTTGGCAGTGGCAGCGGCTTTACCTACTACACCATAGCACTGGCCCCTATTTGCTTCTTCTTATTTCTTCAATTTCACTTCTCAATATGTTCACATTTTCCTTTATATTCTTGATATCCATCATGATTGTTTAAAGGTCCCTGTTGGCAAACTCCACCATGTCTGTCTGTCTGGTTCTGTTTACACTGACAAATTTTTTTCCTGGTTACAGGTCATACTTTCCAACATCTTAACTGTTATTTTTTACTGGATCATGGAAATGGTGAAGTATATTGTTGGATGTCTGGATTTTGTTGTCTTCTTCTAAAAAGTCTCAAAGTCAGTTCATTTACTTCTGTCCCAGCTTGATACTTTCAGTGTTTGTGTTCAGCCTTCACTGGCGCATCCCTAGAGTACTCTTTACTTAGGGTTATTTTCACCTGCTTCTGAAGCAGAGCCTCTCTGGGGTCTTTACAGAATATCCAAAGTATTAAATGATGGCCCTCTACTCCGGTGAGTGGGAACTCAAATGTCCACAGAGCTCCTTCTGTGAGAATACAGAGAAGACTCACGGAGGTCTCCATGTAGATGTACACAGCTCTTTCCCTACACAGCTTCCTCCCTCCTCTCTGGAATTCTGCCTGACAAATTCCAGCCTCCCCAGACTTCACTTCAATATCTGTTTCTTTATCTCAGCTAGACTGCCTTGCTCCGCGTGGATCCCACACTTGTGTCTATGCAAACCCCTCCAGGCAGGAAGCTGGAGCAACCACAAGACTCTCCTCATTTGCTTCCCTCCCCTCAGGGATCAGCCCTGTACTGTTTGTTGTCTAATTTCTGAAAACCATTTCTTATATGCCGACTAGTTTTCCAGTAACTTGTAGTGGGGCAGCTAATCTGTTACTTCACAAAAACCACAGTGGAAGTTCTCTCTGTAGTATTTCATTTTTTAGAAAGATTTATTTATTTGAAATAGAGAGAGAAGGAGAGACATAT